ATATATATATATATATAACAAAACATATTTTTAAACGTATTTATATAAAACATATTAAAAATAACATATTACAAACATATTAATAACATATTAAAAATTTATTAATAAACAAAACTTTGAAAAAAAAAATATTTTTTTTTGGTCGGGACCGGATGGGACTGGTTATGGGACCGGAACCGGGACCGGATTCCTTAACCAGTTACCGGTAAGCTTGACCAGTTACAAGGTATTTCACCGGAACCGGGACCGGTTATGGCAGGACCGGTTACCGCCGGTTTTTTTCTTGATTAGGATCGATAAGGACCGGTTAAGGACCGGCTCGGGACCGGATTTTGACCATCTCTAGTGTGCACGCATGAAAGTGTTTTGTATGTATGTTTCTTTGTATGTGTATGTATGTAGATGTCGTATAAAAGCAAACAAGTGGCATAATGAAGGTAGGAAGAAAGTGGTACCAAAACCCATAGGCACATTACACTCCAAGAAAACAAAGAAGGGGTCCAATCGCCAAGTTGCAATCATATGATATCTACTTAATTTAAGTTTTAAATATATATATATAGATGGATAATATTTGTGAGGTTTTAATCAAATAATTAAAATCAATATTTATTAAATATTAAAATAACCGATTATTACAAACTCAAATACTAGTAGTAAACCTCTACACCACATCCAAAATCCAAACACCTTCTAGATTAAAAAAGAAAAACAATTAGGAATTTTTATTGCAAATTCAGTCGTATATTTTTTTTCTTAATTTTATATATATTTTTTATTCTTATTAATTAATTATCCCAATAATTTTATTAGATGGAGAAGCAGGAGATAGGAAATTGCAAAGGCGCCGGAACTGGACCCAAACCCGGACCACGTGGCAATGCAAATTGCTTGACAACCGTGATCCACCCCATTCTTACTCCTTCATTTCTAAATGGTCAACCGGTCAACTGCCACAGCCCCTTCTGTAGGCCCCACCTCCAGACCCAGTTCCACTTCCGCTAACATAAGCCGTACGCCACCTCCTTCTATCCTATGTATATATTTATGAGTAAATTTCATTTTTGGTCTTTGTGTTTTATTAAATATCAGGTTTGGTCCTTTTTTCCTAAGTTAATATAGTTTTAGTCATTGTGGTGATGTAATTGTTATTTCATTTTACTTTTGGCCCCTGTGATTAATTTTTTAGTTAATAATATTAGGGGCTGTTTGGCAATTGCTGAATGGTTTGGTGCAAAATAATTAGGTGGTCAGAATGATTAAGAGACTCTCATGATATAGTGCAAAATGAAATATAATTGTTTGGTAATTGTATACAATAAAATTAGGGCTCTTAATGGTTAAGGGAGTTCCAGAATACAAAATCATTCAGAAAATTTTAGAATCATTAAGAGGCAGACTTTTTTTTTTGCCAAACAAGATTCACCTCTTAACAATTCAGAGATTGTCTCTTAATGGAACTATTAAGAGGTAAACAAACAACACCTTAGCTAATTTAAGTGTATTTTATTTCTTTTTAACTTTTTTATTACGATAAATATTTCTTGTCGGTACCTTTAAAATAAGTTAAGTAAATGTATAGGTGTTAATTGCTTATTTATTTTTTATTATGATAAATATTTTAAATTTATACTTTAATTTTTTTCTAATAATTGTATAATAATTTTTTTTATTGATACACATTTAAAAACATCTAATTAGATGAAATATCTATAGACGATCCAGTTTTTAGTAATAGAAATAGATACATTTCGATTTTTATCATACATAATTAAGATAAAATGATAATTTTTTAAACCCAATTTAAAATATAAAATATTTTTTTATGAATGTAAACGAATTTGTAGATATATATTAGATAAATTACATAAAATTTTATAAATATTTAATACTTAACTCATTTTATAAGTATCAACAAGACTTTTCTAATGGTATAATATACAAAATATAATATGCATTTTTAATGTATTTTAGCTAAAACTATCACTAATTAATTAATATAATAAGGTGAGAACAGAAAAAAGAAACAAATTTACTCTATAATCTGATAAAACAAAAAATGAAAAAGACAAAAAAAAGGTAAAATGATCAAAATAACTTTATAGAGGGACCAAAACTGTAATTAATTTTATAGAGGGACCAAAAGTGAAACAAAATGACAATTATAATGACCAAAACTATAAATAATTTTATAGAGGGACTAAACTCGTAAATGAGTGCCAACTAGAAGGACAAAAATGTAATTTAATTTTGTATTTATAGACGAACTGCTTGTGGCTCACAGTCATACTCATACCACCGGATTCAATTACAACAAATGGGTTTTCTTCAATGTAATCGCCGGTGGTCAAAAGATGAAGAAATTGCGCCGGAATCTCCACCGGATTCGAATAATCTTTATTCACAAGCAAGTTTAGCATCGGTTTCTTCGTTAGCATTGAAACAACCATCAACTGCCGCTAACTACCAGTATGTCACCACCTTCAAAGCACATACGGCTTCTATATCCACCCTCACCGTCGCCGGAAAACACCTTCTTTCAGGTTCATCTGACACCCAAATCCGAGTATGGCCGCGAGACCCGTCACCAGTAGTACCGATGCAAAACTTATTAGCATACGGAGAGAGCACGGTGAAGTCGATGGTGGTTTGCGGTGACAAGTTATTCACCGGCCACCAGGATCATAAAATCTGCGTCTGGAAAATCGAGGATGACAACAATGATGGCGTGGGTAATCGGAAAATGATCAGATCGACCAAAGTTGCAACGCTGCCAACGCTCAATGATCGTGCCACGAAGCTGTTTTTGGCCAAAAACTACGTCAAGATACGGCGGAACAAGCGGTGTACATGGGTGAATCATGTGGACGCCGTCGCGGCGTTGGCGGTGTCCCACGACGGTTCTCTTCTTTACTCCGCCTCATGGGACCGGACATTTAAGGTGTGGCGGACGTCGGATTTTAAGTGTTTGGAATCGGTTTGGAATGCCCACGACGACGCCATTAACGCCATCGTGGTGTCCCCAGACGGATACGTTTACACCGGATCCGCTGATCGGAAAATCAAGGTGTGGCGGAAAGACAACGGAGAAAAAAAGCACAAGCTGGTGGACACCTTGGAAAAACACAAATCGGCGGTGAATGCGTTGGCTTTAAGCCCCGACGGAAGTCTTTTGTACTCCGGTGCTTGCGATAGGTCGATAATCGTGTGGGAAAAGGCAGGTGGTGGTGGCGATGGGCGGCATATGGTGGTTGCCGGTGCTCTCAGGGGACACAGCATGGCGATTTTGTGTCTAGAGGTGGTTGGGGATTTGGTGGTGAGTGGGTCGGCGGATAAAACTGTTAGGATTTGGAGGAAGGGTATTCATGGAACACAATATATTCGTGTAGGTGTGTTGGAGGGGCATAATGGTCCAATCAAGTGTTTGGCTGCTGCATTGGATGGTTGTACATCAGCTGATTCTAGTGGTACCTCGTATAAAGTTTATAGTGGTAGTTTGGATTGTGATGTAAAAATGTGGAAAGTATGGGTACCCTTCCTTTGATGTTTATTATTTTGGACAAATTTATTTCATTTGGGGTGGTGTAAATATTAAATAGTGATTTTATATTCATTATTTTTAATTTTATATATTTAAATTTAATTAATTATATGTTTATGGTTAATGTTTGATTTTGGACAAGGAGAACGATGAAGACTTGGAATCATTTGAGACCAATGGTTTTTCGTGAGACCCGTAAGACTAATTCTCAACCTTTGGATTAGATCTACAATATGACAATCTGAACATTCATAAACGTCACGAGACTTCTCAATAATCATAAAATTACCACCGTACAACTTTAGACCATTAGATCATTAGCTTATAAAGTTGATCAATGAATATAAATTAATCTTATGGGTCTTACGAAAAACCCTTAATATCAGGTGAACTCATGTCTATGAGTACAAGGGAAAAGCTAACTAACGTTACTATCCTAGTATCCTGATCTAATTAATAATTTATGTCAAGTATTTTAGTAATATTAAATGATTTATATAATAATATATTATATTTATAAGGGGTACATCATATAATAATTAAAAAGTAGTTTATTTCTGGAATTTTGTATAAAGGTCGTACATATTGGGTCTTCAAAGTCGTTTGTTGACTAGTCAACGGAGCCTAGAATAGTGGACTTGTTTTCTTAATGTTGACCATAGTTTTTATTTGTTACATCCTAATTTCTAAGTTGTGATGCCTATAAAATCAACGTAAATTGTCAACAAATTAATCATAGCTAATTAGAACGGAATTCTTAGATCATTTAACATTAATGAACGATTGTGTTATAGGATAAGTGTGTTATCGTCTAAAAAATATGATAATAGAGATAAAAATAAATATATCAGAGTTAGATTAAAAGTGAAATATCTCGTAGTTATCTACTTGTAACTAATCCATATAAAAAGAATTTACGATTAATGAGAATTATATATTTCTTATCTTCATTATATTGTTGTTCCTTTTCAGTTATTCTATAACATTTTATTAGCACGTAAGCTTAAAAAATCCGTTGTCATTGACCATCGCCGTAAAAAAAAGTTGTTCAGTTTGTTGCCAGACATTAGTGAAGGATTTACTTCCCGCTAATTCAATTCAAGTAAACATTTTATTTATGAATGTTTCACGTTGCTTCTTTATACATGAGTATTTTAAAACCATGTAATTTTGACATATCATCATTTAATTTTAATTGGGTTGGTATAATTTTTATTGTTTTTGACATATCATCATTTATTTAAGCGTTCTCAATTAATTACAATATTAACACGTTTATTAGTTAATATAATTGTGTTAATACAATTTACTTATTAGGATCATTTATTTGAATTTGTGACAGTTTATTTTTTATATTTCTTGTTATTTATGTTTGTTATTTTATTATTATTATGATTTTATTATTATTAAATTTAAATATTTATCTTGATTATGAGTTCCTACTCATAATTTTCAATTTTATAAATGATATTTTGAAGTTATATTTCCTACCCCGTATATTTTGGTCTTCTAACAAAAACTCAAAAAAATACTATTAAAATGTTGAATTTGACTTTATGTTGAACCAGTATTTATTTGTCTAATGACAAAATCTTTTAAAATATTATTAATATATTAAAACGTTAAAGTTGGCTTCATATGCCAAACTCATATTCTTTTCAGCATCATGCCAAAAGCTTTATAATTAGTAATGTTATCTTTAAAATTAAATAAATCGTTAAATGTCGAAAGAATTTTTTCAAATTGGTGTAAATAGCCCTAAGGTTGTAAGGACTTAAGAAATCCATGTGATTCCTTTACTATATGGAAATCCAAGAGATTGAATGATTTATCTAGCAAACTGAAATATTGATGAAGTATTATCAATAACACGTAAATACAAAAGTCCAATGTAACACCCCAAATTTAAGGGTTTGTAAAGTATGTAAAAGGCGAGGACTAAAAGGATTGATGGTAGTAATAGAGTCATCGAAGGGAGGTTGAAAAAGTCAAGTGAGAGACGTGAGTCATGGAAAGACTTAAGGGCCGTTTACCAAACATTTACCCGGTAAATGTTTATCGGTAAAATTTAACACTATTATTTACTTACCAGGCAAGAGTTTAGTCCAACAAAACGGTGTTGTATGCAATAATTTACGCAGTAAATGCTTACCGTGGTAAGAGTCGTCGCCCTCACTTAC